ATTGGAATTAAGGTGTACACCACCTCCCAAAATTTTTCAAAACTGCTTCGAATCACAAAAAGGTAAATTAAAAATCCTCTCTATGTGACAGTAGTTTGAAAGGTAAATAATGGAAGTAGAAAGGAGATGTACATTTGTTGAAACCTATTATGTACCAGGCACTTTACATAACTTATTTTTATTTGATCCTCACAATGATTGGCAAGGTGTGTGTTGCAGGATACTAAGAGGTCATAGGTTTTAGGAGGCTAAGAAATGACCTAAAACTTCACATCTAATAGTTGGTATAGGAGAGATTTGAACTCAAGAATATCTGCCTCTAAAAATTAGCCATAAACTATGACAACACATCCCAAATAAAGATGTATAGTAAGTACTTGGCTCTTCACAGATTTTATATAAAATATGGGACAATATTAGTGATATACCTAAATTTAGGCATTAGAAAGAAGTCCTTCTTAATTTACTCTGTAATTGTAACTCAGTTGTTCATCTTACAGGTCCCTACAGTAGTAATTAAACATTCCTTTCTTTGTATTATATGTGTTTTCAAACTACTAGTAAAGATCCTTGGTCAGCAGCCTTTGTATCTTTTGGCATTTTGCTGCTAACGCTCTGTAAACATGGGCAGCCAAGGAAAATGCAGATGGTGCTATGGAACACAAACCACGACAACATATGGTGTACATTTAGTCCTAACAAAGTGTGCTTCTTAACCTCTGGGTGTCACTTCACCATTCCTTTATAAGACTACTCATTTCCAAGGAAGGTTTAGTTTCCAAAACCAGGGCAACAGGCCCACATGTGTTGTACGGCCATTCAGATGCACAGATTGTGTGTCCTAATACCTTTAAGCAAGTGCATTTAGCACATGCTTCCAAGCACTATGGTATGTACTTATGAACTGTTTCGCCCAGATAGTAAACTCCTTGAGGACAGGTGCCAGGCCTGAAATCTCACCTTATTAACTGTGCATGGCAGAGTAACAATATTATCTATCTTGTATATAGAGACATACAACCTATAAATTGCTCTTCTAGGTAAACCTCCTGACAACCTTGCTACATTGTGACAATTGCCACATCTTCTAGATGAGGCTCACAGAAGCTAAGCAATGGCCAGAATCACAAACTAACAGCTAACATTTTCTTATTGCCCACAAGAGAAGGTTTTCTTGTCTTGCACCACTTTATTGTTTTTTTCTTTTAAGGTTTTTATTACAAAGGTCAATGTCTACTGACCTTTTAATAAAAGTAATTATTATTTAGTGCTTAGTATACATGTGCAAGGCATTGTTCTAAGGGTTTTTACAAATACTAACTCATTTAATCCTCCTAACCATCCCATGAGCTAGATACTATTTTTATCCACATTTTATAGATAAGGAAACTGAGGGACAGAGAGATTAACTTGTCCAGAATCAGAGGACGGGTAAACAGTAGCAGTGAAATTTGAATCCAACAGTGAAGTGTGCTCCAGAGTGTGTGCTCTTAAACCTACACTATTCTGCTTGAATAAGAGTCTACAAAGATCCTTACTCAGGACATAGGAGGAGTTGTTCAGCAAGAAAAAAGCATGTTTACTCCTCCCTATTTGATTTATTTGATTATATTCTAAAGCCTTTCCTCATGCCAATAGAACTCCACGTATTATACTAAACTTTCCTGCACTGAAGGCATATGCAATGGTTACCTTAATTGACACATAAAATACCCAAAACAAAATACCCCAAGACTCAAGGATTTTTGTTTCGTGAATTAGAGACCAAAAAAAAAAAAAAAAAAAAAAAAATTGCCTAGGCATCAGAAGTGTTATAAACTCACATTTGTAAGTCTTTCTTGGGATTTTCAGAATTCTTATACAAGATTTTTTTTTTGTCTGAAATATTTCAGTGCTCACTCAATGTCTGAGCTTGAAAATTACCTAACCCTTTTTAATTTTTTCATTTTCAGCTACTTTGCCTTCAGGCATAGGGCAGGGCAAGCACTTGCTTTCAATACGATGTTTAACACTTTTTATGTTTTTATTTCAGTCGTCTTGAAAACATGCTAGTAAACATCCAAACATATTGTAAAGATTTAAAATTCAGGGTGTGTATACATATATCAACAGGAGTTATGAATTATGTATATTGCAGGCCTATATAAATTAGATTTTGAAGAACGAGCATCACAGTAGTCAAGCAGGTCATAATAAGACATTCCATGTGAAATGTAAAAACTATCTTGAATAAATTATCTGTAAGTTAACATTCTCATTAGAATGACATATTTATTATTTCTGGGCTTGTGATATTGCTTTAATGCATTTTGGCTAACTGTTGTAATGGCATATTAAGAAACCATTTCAGGCCTTTTTTCCCCACTGGAATTTGCAGACTTTTATTTCCATTTGAACTAAAATAATATAATATTAAAAACAATCACCCACTTCCCAATGTAGAATACCATTTTCTTCTGCCCAGAAATATTTAATTAAAGCAGTATATAACTTCAGTAATTATTTTTACACAGAATGACTCTTAAGTTAATAGTCAATTGTAAGACTAAAAATTGGGAGACTGACAATCAAAACAATCTTAAATGCTTTGTTTATGTGATGAAAATGAGTGATCCTTTAATTCCCTCACACACATTAAACTGATTTCACAGACTTTCTGTACTGGTGTTTAACATAGTCAAGTGCTTGAGGTTATGTAAAATAAACAATCTTGAGATCTTATTGCAAATGTTTGCAATTTATGATGTAAACTGATTTGTGAAGAAAAAACAGGATCCTATGTCGCTGAAGCCAAAGAGGCATTTTTCAGAAATCAAAATAGTTCCGAAATTTGAGCACTGCATTATACTAAAGTATTACCATCTGAGGACCCAAAAAAGTTATAAATCTGGGGAAAAACTCAAAATAGATGTACATCAGTTCAGCTCCAAGCAAAGACACCGATCTTGATCTTACTGTATCTCTTGTATCATAGGGTCCCTAACACTAATGATGTCTTGACTAATCTCTTTTAACTCAGTTTTCCCCAGTCATGGATTTTGCAACTTGGGAAGGTTTTGCACGCCGAAAAGATTTGGGGAGCAGGGGGTGGGGGTGTCCTTTATTAACTATATTAGGATTATTGAGTTTTGACCCAAACTACAAGCATTTGGGTCTTATTTAAATTTAAAGTGAAGAATTCCTCAGACCCCTTCTTGGCATGGTTCAGGGAACTCCGGGTTTGGACCTCTTGTTCACACACCGAGGTGCCTGCCAGAGAGTTGGAACACTGGCATTCCGGGAGAGCGAGAGCGGGCCTTGGGTGAGCCTGTGTAGGAGTCTGACCCGAAGCCCGAGACCCCACAGGGCCAAGGAAAGCGGCCTCTGTCTTCCGTTAGTCTTGAGGGAGCAGACGTAGGAGGAGGCAAGGGCGCCGCGAGCTCTCGGAGTGCACTGGTCCCACAGGCCGTGACTGACTGGAGCACTGCGGATGGGGCCAAGAAACTATGGCCTTTCTCGCCGGACCTGGCTGCCTCTGCGGGCCTCTCCGCCTACAGCGCTCCCGCCGCGGCCCGACTCCGGCGGTACACCGAGCCCGACCCACCCGGCTCCTACCGCCCGGGACGTTCCAGACCTACCTACGCCGGGTCGCCGCGCTCCTGTACCGATACCCCGCGCCTTCGCCAGCGAGGCCTGCACGCACCGCCTCCTTTGACCTCGGGCTTCCCCCGTGCTCCGCCGCGTGGGACAGACTGGCCCCGAGGCGGAGCCACCATCTCCCCTGCCCCATGGTCTCCAGGGTCCGAACCCGTGTTGGGATCTGGGTTAGGATCAGTGTTTGGAGCTTGGAGCCTGCCTGTTAGGACCCCCGGCCCTGGCGCCGACTGGAGCTCGCTGGAGGCCACAGGACCGTGGCGGATGGCCTGGCTGCTTCAGGGCGCACCAGGCCGGCAGGCAGATGTTTATTATAAAAACTACCGACGTTCATCAACCAGGAGACCCGCAAGGCCTGCGCACTGAATACGGCCCAAATCCTGTTCAGTGGTCTTTGAAAGTTAAAAGAAAGAAACCTATCGCTCACGTCTATGTTGAGGAACAGCTTTGAACAGGAGCTCAGACCTGGGAGAGGGCCAAGTGGGGGTGGTGGGGAACACTGCTGGAGGATGTGGGGTTTTGTCAGGGATTTTACACACCCTCCACAATGAGGGTGGGGAGTCTCAGGGGACGCTCAGGACACTTCAGTCTTCGCGGAAGGTCCCGTCTTCACAAGAGCCCGCGCGGAAAAGAAAGTTCCTGTCTCGGACCTGGTCAGGGCCGAGTCTTCAAAGTCTCCATCTATCCCCACACAGGCAGCACCTTTGGGCTTTACTAGTGGGATTTCTTCCAGAAGAAGGGGGCTACGACACGGGGAGAGAGAGCTCCTCATTATTTTCAAGGCCAGGCTTTTCCTAAACCCGATTCCGGCTTCCACCTTCTAAATTTAACCAACGAAGAAGCTGCTTCAGCCAACCCTAAACAGGAGTGTCAGATGGGGAATCCGCCCTTCACAGTGCCCTCGCCGGCCCGCCTTTGCGGCTCTTTTCCCGCTCTGAAGTCAGTACCTGCCCCGCTCCAGAGAGGGTCAACGAACTGGTACTGGTTGTCGATTATGCCATACCAAACCTAGGTTGATTTCACACCGCAGGATCCCTCTTTCCTTCCTCCCAAAAGTGTCCCAAGATAAAGGTTGAAATTATAGCAAAATGAATAACAAGAGTCCATCTTGGGGAAGGAAGTTACTCTATCCTATGTTATTTTACTTATTATCTGTTCTTTCATTAATTTGGTATAACCCTGTTTCTATGCTGGGTGGATAAAACGGAGGGGGCCGGCGGCGAGAAATGCGCTCAGCGCTAGGGACAGCCACACAGCCATCCTTCTTACTGCCCCTTGACTGCAGCACGTAAGAGCAGAGGCAAGCGCTTTTCCAAGTTGGTATATTCGAGAGAGTGATACGCATTAATCAAAAGGGAAAAGGGAAAGACTATCCCGGATATTTTAATAGTAACAGGAACAAAGATGACACGAACCCCATCAAATGAAACGATATTTTCATTCAATTGATCGCAAAGTGTCTTCAATTATAACTTGGCACTTATTTAAAAGGTTTAACAGAAGTGGAGGCGACACATTTTGTACTGACAACATGTCATGAGATAACATCTTTTGTTTAAAATAACTTAATACACTAGAAAAAATATGTCAAATATAAATAATTTTGTTTTCATGGAGAACAAATAGTTACAAAGCTCAACCGCATACCAAAGTTCAGTTAGAAGAGCTTTTCCTCTTTCTTGTAAATTAGAAGGTAAAATAAAAACAAAAACAAAACCCCACAAACTTAGGCTTGCCAGCGAATTGGGATACAGATTGGCTTAGTCCAAAGTATCCCAGTTTAAACAGCTACATGAATTGAAACAAACAACCAAAAAAAACAAAAAAACAAAAAACAAAAAAAGTTACTTGAATAGATACACCTTTGTGAGATAAAATGCAAATGTTGAAAGTCAGTCCACACATTATAGCCAAAATAAACTTTGTTCGTGTGTATCAACATATCTTACACAAACCTAGTGCCTGTATCTAGCTGGGTGTTATTTAAGGTGAATTTGACGGGATAGAGAGGGGGAAATAAACACTGTCTTCAAATAGGACTTCCGGAAACCAACAAGAAGGAACACAAGAAAAGGGGAATGGTGGGAACTAACATTCATTGAGCGCCTACTGTGTCTGGCACAGCAAGGCGCTGCACCTTCATTATTTCATTTGGTGGTCTTGTTTTCTTTTTCCTTTCCCCACATGTTCTGCCCACCTCTGTCTTCTTAGGACAATGAGTGTAATTTTTTCCCTTTCTGACTTTTTTCTTTTGTTCCCCAGGATCGAAGACAGGGCAAATATATATATATATATATATATATATGGATATAGGTATCAATTTCCAGACGCTTTTGGTATTGTTTTTCATAGTGAAGATGAAAATGGAGTGAGTGCATGGGAGATAAGGGGGTGGGAGGAGACACACCATCAATGGAATACAAGTAACATGCAAACCGGAATTTACTGTCAGCAGTCCGGACAGTTTTGCCATAATAATTTCTCAGAGAAATCATTGTCTGTGGCATCTTTTTGTGTTAATATTATTTTTTTCTCTCCTCGTTTTAATATTTTCTCTTTTCTTGCTCTCCCATACATGGTGGGTTTAAACTCAAAGCATCTGATTCAACGTAAAAGGAGGCCCGCCTCTCTTATCAAATTTCTCGTATTAACGTGAACTTCGCAGAAAAAGGTCAGTTTCAAAACCTGTGAACTTCCCAGCTGCGCACTTTTTTCATCTTAGTTTTTCAAATAAGTATACCTCTTCTTTCTGCTTTGCCTTCTTAGCGCATTTTTAAAAACACACATTTAAGTTGGTAACTCCCCCACATTCTCTCGAGATTCGTCTGGGTTGTTTTTCCATATTTTAAAATGTATAAAATACTTTAATTTTAAAATTTGTTTTTGCTCCTTGGTTCTCCAATTTCAGCTTCTGCCAAATAGTAATAAGTTCCCTTTCTCTTTTTCTCTCCGGTCTTTCAATGTTTTTGTTTGCTCATTTTTTTGTTAACAAGATTTTTTTTTTCTATGCAAGAGTCCATCGTTGCTGCTTTGCGGTGAGCCAAACTCCGCGGTTCCAGCACTCCCCTGTCCAGTCTCTCTCCTGACTCCCCCAAACCCGCTCCTACAAAACCGAATTCTAGGCCCTCGGGTAGGAAAACGGGCAGGAGCCACAGCGCCTGGGTGCCTCGTGAGATCCCTGGTCCTGCGTGGAGTCTGCCTTTCCGAGTCCAGGATGCGAAAGGGAACAAGGGATGGTCAGTGAGGAGGAAAGAGGGCCGGCTCTTGAAGTCTGAAAGGGGTAACGGAGAAGCAGCGGGGCGCGGAGGGCGTGTAGGCTGAGTGCCGCGGAGGAGGCGCGACATTGGTGCTGGCGTTGGCATCACAGACCCAAGGCTGCGGCGTGCTTTTTGGCTTTCAGTCTGAGATCGGCGATGCTGGAGTTCTTGCTGGTGGTCTTGGCGGCTGCTGCCGCCGCGACTACCGAGGCGGCGGAAGCCGAATCCGCGGCCAGCGTGGCGAGCGGCAGTCCGAAGGGCGGCGCTGGGAACATCATGTAGGGCGCGTGCGCGGCCAGGTGCGGATGCAGGTGGTGGTGCGCGTGCGCCACAGCGCTGTCCAGCTGCAGCTGCGCCTGAACCTGAAAGGACAAGGGCGTCACGTTGCAATGACTATCCTAGGGTGACAACAGAATAGAAACAGAGCATTAACGGCGTCCAGCTTGGCCAGAGAGAGAGTTGGGTTGTGTTTGGGCACGGGGAGAGGGCATTTGGCTGCGCATCTTGTTCCGACAGTGACCTTCTCAGCCTGTTGCTGAATCTGGGGTTCCACATGGATACTCCACTGCCCCCTGGGTCTCCGAAACTCAGTTGGGGTAGGTTTATTTCCCTGCACCCTGGGAACCCCCGTCTGCAGGAATGTGGCCGTCTCCCTTGGGAACTGGGCTGAAATGGTATATTGGAAAGACTGTGGGTGAGGATCCTTACCCTCTTCTCCTGATGCTGCCATGCATCTCTTACCCCACTACCAAAACAACGGAGTACCAACAAGCAAACTACGCAACTTTTTTATGTTATTCAGGGAAGTTATTCCATCTTCCCCACAACAGGCACAATTGTGAGTCGGTACTTCTAACCTTTACTGCCATAAGAATTACCCAGGGATCTCGTTAAAATTCAGATTCTGATTCAGAAGGTCTAGGTTGGGGCCTGAGATTCTGAATTTCTAACAATCTCCCAGACAGTTTTGTTGCTGCTGGCCCAAAGATTACCTTTTGAGCGGTAAAGGTCTCCTTTTAAAGTCACCCCTCTCTCTTTCTTCAGTCATTCTCCCTTGTTTCCAAAGCCCAGCATTAGGATGCCAGAGTCCTGTGGCACCAAGAGAGCTAAGATCTCCCTGACACTGAGTCTCAATTCATGGGCACACCTATGTGTCACCCTGTCCAAGTCACTGGAGACTGAGAGCTAATTCATGACATCACAGCCATGCCAAGCAGGGGTCCTGGCTGAGGATGGGGAAGGTCAGATACTGGTTGGGAAAGGATATCACCCTCAGGCTTGGAGAGCGGGGAGTTCAGAGCACTGGGATTTCCCAGGATTAAATCATTGCTGCAGGCTGTCCTTTTAAAATACACTCTTAAAGGTTTCTTTATGGCTTAGGGTTTGCAAAGGCAAGGCAGCCCTGGGAAGACCAAGACTTCTCTCTTTACCAGAGATGAAGCTTTGTTTGCAGAAACAGATTTAAAAACAAAAGAAAGAAAAAATGAAAGTATGAGCTGGGAGTACTCGTGTGTGTTTATTTTTCTTCTGTCAGAGTTATTTAATGTGACTAAGAGGTAGAAAATACCTACAAAAGTATCTGAGGGTTGCCTTAGAAATACCTTAAGACTAATCTCTGTATTGGATTTGACAAAATCTTAATCAAAAGACTTTTCCTTCCTCTCTCTCTAAGGGCGACCTTTAGTGTATTTTTAAAGGGCCAGTTACTGCCCCCAGGCCTCTTCAGGGTTTCCTATGAGGACAGAAGGGAGTAGGTATTCAGGCCCTTAATGCTGTATAAGTTTTTAAAGGGTAGTGGGTCCACTATATCATCTCAAAATAGATTATCCAACTGTGCAGACATTGACATCTGGGCTCAGAGATAGGTGATGTTCAACAGGTCAAGCAAACAGTCAGGTATTTTTATATTTGAAAACAGCTTGAAACTATACTGTACTTGCCTGCTGAAATGGCATCCTTAAAGCACCTACGTTGACATAGGGTGCGACTCTACAGGCTTCAAACTGGCTGGCGGCCCCTATGAGAACACCTGTAAAAAGTACAAAAGAAAAATAATGTGAGGTTAACATTTGTAGCATTTTTCAGGGTTCCAAATGGTATAAGATAGAACTAATTACTTTGAAATTGGACTATTATCTTTCTAAACTGCATCCAAAATTTAAATAAATATAACTTACTCCCAAACTTTAGGACTCCATTAACAGCCTTTGAGGATTATTAAGTTAAGAACTATTGTCATTTTTGAGGTTTCTTTTTTCTGTCATTGTAATAGTAATATTCACTACTTATCTCTTTGCTCAGACTTTCAAATGTTCCTTGTATAAGAAGCATACCTTTATGGAGTTGATTTTCTTGTTTTCTACATTTAGCTCTTCGATTTTGAAACCAAACCTATAGGTTGGAGGGAGAAAAAAAAATAAAACCTAGATATTATGACTAAAAATTTTTTTTAATTACAAGAGTGCAAAGAGAAAAGAGTCGTGGTTTAGATAAGAACTGGGAGATATAGCAAGCAATCTTTGAATTGTATAAAACAGCCTCAATTTCCAAAGGTAAACATGTAAATTAACTACAGAAATAGAAAGATAGATTTTATAGACTTTTGCAAGATACATTACTATTAGTCCTGATTTCATCTTTTCACATAACAGAGTCCCTATGGCCTAAAACTCTACTTGGTACCTGATACCAATATGATAATGTGTTTAGATATTTGCCCAGTTAAGACCTGAGAAGGATGTGCTCACTAATAGCCTTTAATGTTAATTAGCTTCATCTAAAGAAAAACCAAACACCAGAGCAATAATAACTCTTTTGGGGAGAAGGAGTTGTAAGGATTGGGGAGAGGTAATTAGTGTCATAAAAGCCTCACTACAAAGAAGTTTAGAATTTCTCTGTTCCTCTGTGCAGCAGAGTGAAACACAGTAGCAGAATAATTGTGCACTATTATCATGATAATCTAATTTGCTTCTTTAGAAAAAGTCACTGCTTGCAGTTAGGATAGTAGGAAAACATCTAGAAAATAACTAAAATGTAAATAAAAGTATGAAACAACAATAAAGTACACTTCTTAAGAGAAAAAAAGAAGGCATTCAGCGAAAGGAGAATGAAGTATGTATAAAGCGAGTAACTCTTAGGTACTTTGTTCTCCTGGATGTTACCTGCTTAAACTTGACAACTTTTACAGGCAGTATGACAGATTTTTAAAAATTCAAATAAAGCTTGCTTTTGTATTCCACTTTCAATAATAAAGTATATTGATTGACTCACAAATTAAAGTTTTAAAAATCCCATTAAAGTAAAAATACTGCTTCAGAGCTTTTATTGGTATGTTTTTGAAAGCAAGTGTTACAGTCAATGTAAATCTTCAAAAATTTCTCTGCTATTTAGTATAATAGAGGGTGGATTATGTGCCAGGATGGTGTCCTTTGTGTAATTCACATGGCCTGAGGCTTCTTGCCTTTTTTTCCTCTAGAAGAGTTGGAATTAAGATACTAATAATCATAACTGTAATAATTATCATCATGTTTTTAAGGGGTTGCTGAGCCTGTGGAGATCTCAGTGCACAGAGCAAAGCAGGAGAGGCTTAAAAAGGAAGGCTCTGCTGCTGATGCTGTGATGACCAAGGCAGCCTATTATTACTTTTCCTCTTAAACGTGACTGCTCTGGGTTTTTTTTTTTTTTTTTTTTTTTCCTGATCCTATTACAAGATGCGGGAAGCCCCTTAAGAATTGTGCAGAGTTCGCTACAGATGGTGGTCTCTGTGCCCAGAGACCAAGGGAGTATCTGTTACAGCGATACTTTGTAACAGCTGCAGATGTGCGGGCCTAAAACTGCTCCATGTGTTCAAACAAATAATGACTATCATTTTATTCTATTTTATTATTTGAGCGGAAATATAATCTGAAATATTTACATTTGTTCCCCGTAAAGCCAGAAGGATATGTGTATGTGAAAGTACACAACTTGCTCCTTTAAATGATCCCAAAGCCTATTTTTGCTATTACATTTGCCTCCACGACCAATAAAGAAAATGTGTTTCAATCCTAACTTCATTGGGTATGGCACGTGCTGGGGGGGGGGGGCAGGTTTTGGAAATATAAATACTAAGATATGTGGTTTGTTTTAAAATCTAATTTCTTTAGGGTCAGTTTTGTTGCCTTGGTTAAACAAATGAACAAAGAGTGGCCAAAATGCGTTTATTTCTCCACTATTTCACACACAGTTTGAGATCGACCGCTAACAGCAGACTGTAAATTTCTGCACTTAACAGTTACTAATTTTCTTTATAGTCTGAACATCTATAAACCTAATTGGGATATCCGCTTGACAAACCTAGACCCTGCAGAGCAGACCTTCAAGGAAATCAAACTCCAGAGAGCAAAATACTCCTTGGAACTTTCAAGGCATCCAGAGATAAAACGTTTTCTGTGGGATTTTTTTTAAGCCTTATAAAAGTAGGCCCATTAGGATTAAACCACATTAAAGCCAGCGCGAGGCGAGGGGGGTGTGGTTTATAGAAACTCTGGGAGAAAGCCCAGCACAGCTTTCTTCTTCTGGGAACATATGTTAGGATGGAAAAAAAAAGGGAGGGGAGTGCTATAGGACTAAGATCTACTTTGGAAAATAAGACCTCCAGTAAAGATATCTCTTTCCTTCTCATCTTACGCCAGACACTAGAACCGCCACCTCCCGAGTCTGTTCCCCAAGCCTCTTTCCAACCCCAGGCTCTCTCTGCTCCTTGGGCCCTCGACCTCCTGGCAGCTGGGTACCTGCACTCGGGCCTCCGACAGGCCCAGTCGCTGGCTCAGTTCCTCTCGCATGAAGGCGTCGGGATAGTGGGTCTCGTCAAAAAGCCTCTCCAGCTCATTGAGTTGTTCCAGGGTGAAATTGGTCCGACTTCGCCTCTGCTTGATTTTGGTCTGGCCTTCGTCCTCCATCCCTTTCGCATCCTCTTTGCGATCTTTCAGCTCCGGGGACACTGGAGGGGGCACCCCAGCGGGGCCACACGTGCATCCATGCACACACACACACGAACACACACACACACACACACACACACGGACAAAAACAGCACAGCAAATCCCGTTACCAGATTTGTCGCAAAAAAGGATAGAGAATCGTTCCCCCTCGTGGAATCCTGATCCGGCTTCTCACCCCACTCGGAGGAAGAATATCCCAGAGAAGCGCAAAGGTCAAGTGTGAGCAGCCGCCTGGGGCAAGGTGGGCAGTCAACCACCCACCTCCTCCGCAAACGTAACTCGACTCACTGTCCACCCCACAGTTCCCGGCCTTCCCCAGCAAACGCCAAATGCTTTCCACTCACTTTCGCACTCACTTTCTCCCGAGCACTCCCAGAAATCAAAGGCGCAGCGCCAGGCCTCTCACAGAGCAAGGTCTGGACGTAAGGGCGCGGCAAGGCCACCCACTGGCCTCTCACACCGGCCATTCCCAGAAGGCTGACTCGTTCTCAGGCCAGCTCTCACCACCTCCGGCTCTCTGCCTACTGCAAACTTGCTGGTCTAATTTAGGAACAATTGGGCCGAAGGGTATCAGCGAGAGAAACAGACTCCGGTGTTGTGCTGCACAGGGAGCCGCATCCGCAGACACCCCTCGCTGCCCCTGGGCTCGGGCCAAACCCTGCATAAGGTACCCTGGGCAGCCAGGTAATCTCCGTTCGCCCTGTCCGACCGGGGTCTCACGAGCACAGGCGCCCACGCCATGTTGGCGGCCCGAAGGGCTCGCCGCCCACGCCGGGCCAGAAGGCAGGAGGCGGAAAACCAGCCTCCGGTGGCGGGCGAAAGCAACCGCTCTCTCTGTTCTCTCTTCGCCCTCCCTCGTGGAAACGCAGACTCGACCCTAAACGCTTAACCCACAGAGATCAACAGGTTCAAGCGGAATATTCGCGATCCTCGGTTTCTATTGGTTGCTCAAAGCCTTTTCATGCAACCAGCAGCTCGGATGTTTAATAAAATATGCATTTTTCTGCTCTGGGTTTGCACACATCCGTTGCCACTGTCCTGTCCTTCTCCTCCCTTTAAAAACAGGAGCTCTTCTAGTGTGAGCATATAGTCACCGTATGTATATCGCCCTGGAACCTTTATACGCTGCGCCCGAACCAGAGACTCCGGTTTTTAAGGAGTCAAAGCTGAGTTTAGATAGTACAGACTGTTTGCAGTTCTTTCCAGCGCAGGATCCAGGCCAGCATGGGTGTTAAAAATCATTTCCGGAAGAGCCGGTCTGCAGAGAAATTAGTACTTGTCCTGAGCTTGGAAATCAACAGTCCCAGGAACTGCGTCTGCCTGGGGTTCAGATCTGAACCTCGCCGTCAAGCGCGCTGGCGAACCTGTAGTTCGGGCCTGTAGTTGTGGACTCAAGGCCGGAAGGCTGAGCTGGGCACCTTGACAGTAATTCCACCATTTTACAAATTTAGGAAGACCTGGTGCTGGTTTGGAGGAAGAAGAGTCGCTAGATCTCGGCCCTGCGGGGCATTACTAGCTACCGTGATCTTAAGTATTGCCGTATTTTCTAGTTCTCAGAGTTCGTTTTGTGGACATTTGTCCCTTCTTTAGGAAGGAAGTGGATAACATTAGAGTGAACATTATGAACCAATTTAATAGCAAAGTATTTTTACTGATATTGTACTGGAATTAAAATATGAAAACACATCCTTCAGATGCTGCCAATGAGGTGGGAAGGCTTTGTCTCTTACATGTCGTCTACACAGTGGATGCCACTCAAAGTTTTGGGGCTTCAAAGAGATGTCCAAATTTCAAGTTGATCAATAGACTTAATAAAATCTCTATTTTTGTCCCCAAATTTCCAATTAATGATCTAAACAGGAACAGACCGTGTTATAAACAACTTAATTGCTTGCTTAAATATGTGATTCCACACATGCCACATATTTTCTTAATTGGAAAAATATGGCAGTACACCAGTTACTGCAGGCACCAAGTGCCAAATTAATTTTATTGTTGAACTCCTTTGAATTGTTATAGGATGCTCTGCCATTGAGATAAAGACATTTCCTAACACTGCGCTAGCACCAAAGGATTTTTGCTCTAAGAGAACCGAGTACTGGGTGATTGAAGACACTAAAGGAATTGTGTAAATATAGATCCCCACCTCCCCGTCCCCGCCCCCAACACACCAAGAAACCGAAACGCCTCGCCGGGGAGAAGCAGCGTAGCCTGGACCCTAGCTTTCGTTGGCTTCCTTCTACCTTCAAAGAGAATGGGAAGTTTTGGCCCCTAAGATCCAAAGATTCAGGGTCTCTGCGGAGTTCGAGGGATCTTGGCGGCCCCAAACACGAGGCGAGCTATCCACCTCTCCCCTTCTCCCTCCCTGCAAACTCCTTGCTAGAGGCTAGCTTTAGTCCCGCCGTCCGGTCCAGCACCCCCTCCTGCAGCCCGGCCCTGCGAACTTCCACGTTCGCCTGCGGGCCAACCGGGCTGCGGGCCCATCCTCCGGCTGGTGAAAAATGCATTTCGATGGAATGGGAACATCTGGGAAGGGCGCGCACAAATCCCACACGCTTCCTCCCCAACAACACACTAGGACCCCACCCACGACCGAGCATACCACCGGACCCCCACCCTTCCACTATCACTCCAGCTTACAAAGCTGGGGTCCAGGGCCCTCTCCGCGTCCCTCTCCCCTCCCCGCTGGGCCTCGGAGTCCTCTCCCGCCCGAGAAGAGTCAGGAAGGAGGGAAGGGGAACCGTTGCCCGGGGTCAGTCAGGTCGTTACCCTCCGTCAGTCGCGGGCTGCCCGGCTCCCTGCTTCTCTCGGCAGCGCCCATGTCCAGCTCCCGGACGGGAGAGCGCCCTCCTCCAGCTCCTCCGCCTGCTCCTCCTCCTCCTACACCTCCTCCGCCTCCTCCGCCTCCGCCTCCGCCTCCTCCGCCGCCGCCTCCGCCGGCCGCCCGGACTGCCGGGCTGCTGCGGTCGTCGCGGCCGGCCTCGGTGCAGCCGGTCGGCTCCTTGGCCCCGCGCAGCGGCCCGCTCTCCAGCACCTCCCGGTACGTGATCGCCTCCTTCTTCTCCTTCACTTTCTGGTCAAAAGACTTGGAGACGAACGCCGTAAGTTCTTCCATCGCCGCCGCACGTCAGCCCGGCGCTCAACCTCTGCCAGCCGAGCCCCGCTCTTTTTTTCCTCCTCCTTTTTTTACTGCTCCAGCCCCCCCAATAATAACACATCAATGGGACAGGAGGTGGGGGAGGAGAGAGAGGAGGAGGAAGAAGAAGAAAAAGAGGAGAAGAAGGAAGAAAGAGGAGGAGAAGTAGGAGCAAAAGAAGTAAGAAGAGGAGGAGGAGGAAGAAGAGGAGGAGGGGGAGAAGGGTGAGGAGGAGGAGAGGGAGGAGGAGGAGGAGAAGAAAAGGGGCGGGGGCCGCCGGAGGGAAATGGGAACTGATGCTTCCCTGCCGGAGCGCGCTTGTTCAATGTTAAGATCTTTGACAATTCTTCCTGCGGAGAGTTCAGATCTGATAGCGACGCTGCGCTTGAAGTCTCACTATTTATACTTCCTAAAGGCGGCCCCTTGTTCTGAGTAAATTACCTCCCCGCGCAACTCGGAGTGAGCCCCCTTCCCGGGTAGCAGTCGCGCCTCTACCGGGGGTTGGGGAGGGGAAAAGGAGAAGGAGAAGGAGAAGGAGAAGGAGAAGGGGAGAGAGAGAGAGAGAGAGAGAGAGAGAGAGAGAGAGAGAGAGAGATTAGAGTTCGGGCGGTCTGGGGCTGGAGTGGTAGGGCAGCACAGGGGGACTGGAGGGGGCGGGGAGAGGAGGCCGGTCCCCGGCTGCTCAGGTTTCCAGATAGCCCCTGCCGCCTATGCTCTTGGCCATTAATCCAGGATTGACAAGAATCCCTAATTAATTTAATTAGGCGTGGATTTTGCGTTGGTGTCACGACTTAGTTAAACACTGGGGAGCTGGATAGACCCCGCGGGGTGGGGCCAAGAGGAAACTGACAAGTGCGCAGCTCTTAGAGTCAGTCTGGTATCCCGACACTACATCCTTCCCTACAGTCTTGCTTGGAGTCAGGATGCCTCGCAACTGCTCAGCTTCGCATTTCTTTTCCTCGTCCCTGCCCTGCATCAATCGCCCAGCAGTTTATAGGCCCCGCATCCCATTCTCGCATCCTGAGCCCGCATCCCAATCCTGCATCCCCGCCTCTCACTCACACCCTCGACCCCTGCGGGCAGTAGCTCCACCGCCCAGCATCATCCTGCCCAGAGTCAGGGTTGTCTGCACCTTCTCCGACCCGCGCAGCTTCTCTTAGCAGCTTCCCGGCTCGCAGGCAGGTTAAGTCCGGTTCTCCTCCAAGTTCCTCGCCCCTCGGTCCGTGTTATTCGCTCTATTATTCGTGTCCTGGAGCCTAGCTGACTCCTCTATGGACAGACCCCGCTAAAAGGGACCGGTCGATTTAACAAGTTTCCCGAGCAGCTGTTAGCTGACAGATCTCATTTTAAAGTGTTTCCTTAGCGCCCGGTCAAGGACAGCTCGACTTCGTTCTTTTCCCCTCTGAGGTCTCAGAACTCCCACCCTTCTCCCTTGCTCCTTGCAACCGGACCCCTCTATGATGAATTACCGGACTTCTTCTTTAGCATCTTGGGAAACATCCGAGTTTGTTTACTAATTTGAAAAACAAGAGATTATCCCTCTTCGAGTCTGAAAAAAAAATCGACGTTAAGTTTGTACCTCGTCTAATTTCATTTATTGCGGAGTGCTAAAAAAGAGACGCTCGCCAGGAGTAAACGTCCTCTCTCTCTCTCTCTCTCTCTCTCTCTCTCTCTCTCTCCCTCCCCTCCCCCCGCAACGATTTAAAATTCTATTTCTGGTCTATTTTCATCGGAACGGTTTGTTACATTAGAGGAACATCTATATTCCTGAGTCATTTGTCTGTATTGTGCCGGACAGGGCTTGCTGTGAGAAGTGTGGCTATGCAAATATATACTCACAAAAGAATATTTACATATGAAAAGTTATATTTAAGTGTGTAAACAAATATACCCCTAAGTGTGGCTTAGGGGACATTTTCAAGTACTCTGAATATTAATTCAGACTTTCTGGAAGTTAAAGGTAACTTGATCATTATTTTGGATCTAATACTCTTAGTAAAAATAAGAGGAATTACAGAACATTAATATGTATATCTTCCATATATTGGTTAAGGCATCAAAACAAATTAGCAGATAATTTAAGAAGTTCCGTCAAAACAATCTGAAACACTTGTAAAAAGAGAACACAATTATAACTTAATATATTAGTGTTTCTCAAATAGATGTAAATAGAAGCTGGATATAACCTTATGTTATTCTACAATACTCATATTAAAATGTTCACATTTGGTGAATTTAAGGATTATGTATATCATGCTTTTTAGAAATGTTTTGCCTTTCTAAAACATTTCATTTTTTGCCACTTTTAGGAGAATCAATGTCTATAATTTTTCCACAGCTATAGCTTTTAGGTATTAATACATTGTATCAGTACTTGCTTTTGTTTTGTTACACCACAAAAGGGACTCAAATACTCAAAGTTTCCAAAGTTATACAAATTTAGAAACAATTTTACATTGAGTCTTGGGTTACTCTGTGTAACTACTTTCTGATATTATCAGAGGAAAATAATCAAAAAACTTTAGTCCTTTATGAAAATCTGTTTTTAAGATTATTTAGCAGAAAGGCCAGTAATGGGGTGAGCTAAGTGGATATGGTGCTCAAGGTGCTCTCAAACTGAGGTGTTAAATACATATTCATAAATAACTCAAAAATAACCACTGTTGGAAGTCGGCAAGGAATCAGGAGACCCACCAGCTACTAGTTTGCCTTTTTAAGCATGACTTTTAGGTTTGAATTCATATTTCATCTACTGAGCTTGAGGGAAAGATGACCACTTTAAAGGTAATCAGGGAAGTCACAGACACAACTATTGTGTAATTCAAACCAATAGATTTTCCCATGATCTCAGCTTTTTGGCTCATTGCATATTTAGGAATAGTAGTGTTGATAACAGATGGAGCTATGAGAAATCTTTAGTGTCTGACCACAGATTCCCACTGGCCTAAAGGAAGTTTACTTTAAAAAAAAAATCAAGGTTATAAAATCATATACTAATAAATGCTCACAAAGTTCCAATGATTTTGTTTCATTAAACAGCAAATATTTTCCAGAGATAGGACATTTCAAAATACAGTTTTGGTAAAAAAAAAAAAAGCATTTATGGTAAAGCTCAGCTGACAGTCTGTGGACGGATACACAGGTTCCAATAAAATTCAGGACCCAAGGGTTTCCCCAGCTTTTGAATTATTTAAAATATACCCATAGTGTTGTAGTAGTTAAGTTTTAAAATGGTGCCTCAAAATTGGCTAGTTTAGGTACATTATTTATGAAAAATATATTGTGGAGGTGATTTTTTACCATCTCAAATATCTGCGGAAAATTGTAGCTTGGTTATCTAGCAGTGGTGAATGAGTTGGTTCTCATAGTCGACCAAAACCCAGGCCAACAATTTATCTTTTTAGCTTTGCTTAAGCGTAAATGAGGAAAAAATAATTTTCACGTAAGGAAAAATAAGTTATGTAGTATGAGTTACAGAAAATGCTGAGTCTCTTTAATTTCTATTGGTTTAAATTAAAAAACTCCACACACCTATAAATTTGATTTCTCCTTCAGAAGAAACCGCTCCCCGCCTCGCCTCAGGCAGGTTTCTCCTATTCCTCTACTAACCAGTTACTTTAATCTGAGAAACTAATTTGCACTCAACTTGTGAGTGCCTTCACCTTCAGGGCAGAAGAAACACCGACTTTTAATGCATTTTTGCAAATAAATCATTACAATTTAATCACACAAGACTCTATACAGACACACTCCCATGATTTATTATCGTTGGGCGAGTTTCCCCCTCCCCCAGCATGAGATAACCAATTTTGTTTCGTGTAGGTGTCATAAACATAACTTCCTACGATGCAGATTTGTTTACTGATTACCCATGACGATAACGACGACTACTAAGACAATAACACTCTCCAGTCCCACCTTTATTGCTTTTGGTAACAATAAAATCAAAATAAACAGGCACGCAAAACAAACGCCAAACAAAAAATTGGCAGCGTTAAAATCTACTCCCTCGGCATTCCCAGCGCCTGGCAGCATCCATCGATGCACTCGATATCTCGGCTGAAGCTGCCTGGCGCTAGAACCAGGAAGGCGCTGAGCTTAAACTGAAGCAAGTTCGGTGTACGCCGGCGGCGCCCTGATCTAAAGAAACGTCTCAGGGTCTGCGGCGCTTGCACGTCAGCGGAAGGTGTGAGCCCAAAGGTCTGGACCGAGGTGATGCCCACGACCAAGGCCTGGCGAGCGGCGTCCGTGGCTGCGGGGCTCCGAGGCCCTGCTCTGGCAAGAGGCGGCGTGGGGCCTGCCGCAGTTTGCGCTGGATGTCGGCGGAGGGTGGGCGGCGGCTTCGTGGCGTGTGCAGTGTCAACGTGCGCATGCGTCCTGCACCTGGGAGGCTCCGGACTCCCTGGGTCAAGGCTGGTGGCTGTAGGATGGGTGGGTGGGTGGCCGCAGGCCTCAAGCTTGGCGGTCTGTCTTGAGGACGTGTCGGAGAGTTCGCCGACTCCTCCCCTCGCCCCCCATTCCTGGCTCTTCATCGCTGCTTTTGGGTTTCCTGGCTCATCTTGCAATATAAGCCTGGCGCTTCCTCACTAGTTCTAGGTAGGGTGGATCAAGAGGGAGGCTGGATTCTGGTGCTCTCTATCCCATCCACTCCGCTGTCCCTGCTTTAGATCCACCTCTTTCTGATTCCGCCCTACCCTTTCTGGCTCACACTGGCTTGCTGAGAGAAGTGGTGCAGGGTGAAATAGATGTTCCTTTCTTGGAGTATAAATATGCTTGCCTTAAACACACTATATATTCCCTTGACTTCTGTACTTGTGGCCATGTGACTAAGAGCATATGGCTTTGTTTACTTTTGCAAGATGTTGTAACGCACCGTAAGGCATGTTGCCTGCTCTTGATTTTAGGTTAACCTTGACGTAATTTCTCTCAGAGGTTGTGTATCTTTAAATGCACACTGGAAACCTAAACAAAAAAATATTTTTTTCCACTTCCAGAATTAACAGTAACCCAATTGTGTTCCAACTAACTAGGTAGTAGATACATAAATTCAAATGTCTTTTGTTGTCACAAGAAAGCATTCGAGCTGTCGTCTTTGAACTTAGATATATTATAAAAGCTCTAAGTGAAGGAGGTAAGCAGAGTTCCCAGGTTTAAGATTTGGAGCAGGTGTGACAGTTGCAACCTTGGGGGCAACTAGGTATCCTTTAAGAGCCTCTCTAGTCTTAGAGTTCACAAATATTCACTTTCTTTGCAGGCAAAGATTTCATGCTAAGTGATATAACACTTTATTTATGTTTTTCAATAAGAGGGCTAAAAATGTCAGAATCTGAAAACGAGAAAAACAGCTGGCACCTTTTTGTTAATTGGCCTTGCCAACTCAACCAGTCTCACAAAGAGGGGTGTTATGAATTGGAAAAGTTCTGAAAGCGGGTTGTTATAGTAGATCTATAGTTGTATTTCCTGCTTTCATTTCCAAACCATTGGGGATAAATTCCTATGATTGATCATGCATTTTTAAAAA